AGTAGTAGTAGTAGTAGTAGTAGTAGTCATAGTAGTAGTAGTAGTAGTAGTAGTAGTACTAGTAGTAGTAGTAGTAGTAGTAGTAGTAGTAGTAGTAGTAGTAGTAGTAGTAGTAGTAGTAGTAGTAGTAGTTGTAGTAGTAGTAGTAGTAGTAGTAGTAGTAGTAGTAGTAGTAGTAGTAGTAGTAGTAGTAGTAGTAGTAGTAGTAGTAGTAGTAACAGTAGAAACAGTAGTCGCAGTAGTAGTAGTAGTAGTAGTAGTAGTAGTAGTAGTAGCAGTAGTAGTAGTAGTAGTAGTAGTAGTAGTAGTAGTAGTAGTAGTAGTAGTAGTAGTAGTAGTAGTAGTAGTAGTAGTGTGGTATCAGGTAGCAGTAGTAGTCGTAGTAGTAGGAGGAGGAAGATGAGGAGGAAACAGGGCAGCACGAGCAGGACAGCAGGACAGCGGCAGTAGTAGTCGTAGTAATAGTAATAGTAGCAGGACAGCAGCAGCGGGAGGAGGATGAGGAGGAGGAGGATGAGGAGGAGGACAGCAGCAGCGGGAGCAGCAGCCCCAGATGCAGGACGGATGAGGCGGAGGCCCTCCCTTGCCGCGCCAGGGCGTTGGCCGGACTTGCCGAGCGTTGCGCGCTGCTCGAGAGAGGCATCCAGCAGTTCCAGGGCGCCCTGCCCACAAAGCTTACGGCCCCAAGCAGCTTTCACCTTGGGGAGGGGGATGAAGCAGGGGGGAATTGTTACAGCAAGGATCTACCATCAAAGGTGTCGTTGAGCATGGCCCTTGTGGCAAGGGCACTCTGCTTTCTTTGGCTCTGGCCATCATCAGCCCGTTTGGGCGAGCTTATCCTTGGCTTTCACGCCGTTCCAAGGGTCTTTCGTAGCCAGCCTGAGGTACTGGACGTCAGACGCGCCCCCGACCAGCCGCGACTCTACATGCCAGGACCGCATCCTCCCCAGGCTGTTTTCTCCTAGCGTCGCCCAGTCCCAGTGGTCCCAGCGCCAGTAGCTGAGAGGAGGGGGAATCGGGGACAGTGAGGATGGGGAATTTTCGAAAGAGCTCCAAGATGGCTCCACGAGGCCTCCGGAAAGCGCCAGGAGCCCGTTTCTTCATTGCTTGGGGCATGACGGGCGTCATGATCCCCGGCCCACCACCCCTATGACGTAATGCTCCCCCCCCAAGTACGTTCCGGGCACTGCCGCCGTGTGCGTCGTGATCCGCATAGGTGTTCGCATAGGAATCCGCATAGTTGTCTGCTCCGCAGTCGTCGTCGTCGTCGCCGTCGTCGTCGTCGTCGTCGTCGTCGTCGTCGTCGTCTTGGTCGTCGTCGGTGTCGTTCGTCGCTCGTAGCTCATCGTCGTCGTGCGCGCGGACGCATCTTTTTCAATTAAAAAAATTCGGGCCGACGACGGCAATTATCTGGGGGGTGGAAGGGGCCGATGACGTCACATTTCGCGCGGGCGGCGTCTGGGAATGCTTCGGAATCACCGAGGACGGGTGGCAGCAGCATGTCGGTGGCGATCTGCACCACAGTGATTGTGTACACCATAGTGCCTGCGTGCACCACAGCGCCTGTGTACACCACACCGTTTATGTACAACGCAGCAGTCGCGTGCGTCACAGCGCCAGTGTGTACCACAGTGCTTGCTGGCACCACAGCGCTTGTATACTTCACAGCGCCTGCGTACACCACATCAGCCGTGTGCAACACAGCGCCAGTGTACACCACAATCTGCGTGCATTCAACACGGCACCAATGAATAGACCATTCTGCGGTACACGCTGAGACGCGCACGTGCGCTGTAGTGCCGACCCACACGACGGGGGGGAAGGGCGAGGGAGGAGGTGGAGGACGAAAAGGAGGAGGACGAGGAGGAGGAGGAGGAGGAGGCGAACATGGAGGAGGGAGGAGGGAAAAGCGTCGCATTCTATTATCAGCACTTCTCTGGCGTGGCGCTTAGCTGTCCGCAGCAGATCCTCACCGACATGCTTCTTCTACTTGTCCTGTGCACGCAGGCACTCAGGTGTACACCAGTGCTGCGTTGCACGCGGATGCTGTGGTGCAGAAAGGCGCTGTGGTGTGCACAGGCGCTGCGTTGCACGTAAGCATTGCGGTGTAGACATGCGCTGTATTGCACATGGCTGCTGCGGTGGCACAGTCGCTGTGATGTACACCGGCGCTGTGGTGCACGCAAGCACTGTGGTGTACACAGGCTGCGCGTCGCACGGCTGTCGCGTCGTACGCAGGCGCTGTGGTGTACACAAGTGTTGCGGCGCACGCGAGCACTGTGGTGTACACAGGCGCTGCGGGGCAGATCGCCACATACATGCTGGCGTCGTCGTCGCTCGTCGCTCGTCGCTCGTCGCTCGTCGCTCATCGTCATCGTGCGCGCGGGCGCGGCTGTGGTGCCGGAGCCGCACGGCGGGGGGGGAGCGTTGCGTCATATCCACCCCCCCTCTTCCCCCCATGACGCCCGTCATCGCCGATGATAAAGAAACGCGCTCCAGGAGTCTCCGAGAGGCCTCCAAGTACACCCTTCCAGGATTCTCTGTTTCACTTCGACAACTCTCCTTTCTCCCGACAGGTCGTCGATAGCTGTCCCACTTCTCGGCGTACTTGCGTGCGCTTTGCCCCACTAGGGGGAGGAAAAGGCGGGAATTCTAGACGCTCCGCGTAACCGCACCAGCCAGCGTGTCGAAGCAGACTTGGTCCTCTTCCTTACCACGCGGTCTAACTCCAACCACACGTGGGGTTTCGTGGACAACCCCAACAGAGTCAACGTCGGGCTCACGCGCCAAGCGAGGTATCGTGGTCATTGCAGTCGTCCGCATGATGCCCTCTATGGCCGACTCCAACTTGTGATTGCTCTCGAACTACGGTCGCCTCGCAGGCCTCGGGGTACGTTTTCGCAACCTTCCCAGTCACAGCCCGGGCAATCGCAACGAGCTGCTTATCGACACCACCTTCGACCCCATCCACGACCTCGCCTCCTGGGTGCTGGTGGGTCCCAACACCCTCGCCGCCAATGAGGCACACGACTGAGCTAGGGTCGACCAGGAGTGGCCAGGAGACGGGACGATCACGCCAAGAGCTTCAACGTGCAGTGCGACCTCCCCCCGGAGGTCGACCAGCGCTGGGGGGACCTTGGACACTGCATTTTCCGTCGTCCTCTTCCTAGTGGCAGGGCTGCACCCCCACAAGTAGAACATCGAGGGCGTCCTCTTCCAACCCTGCGCAGTTCGACAGGAAAGCCAGGAGCCACCTGGGGTACCTGTTCGACGTGGAACTAGGGCTAGACGCAGGCAGTCTGGTTTGCGACATGACCTGGGCCACCCTGGTCTGTGCGTCGGCCTAGGCACTTCCTGGGACAACCCCCTGCGCCGGATTTCTGACAACGAGCTGCCTCTTAGACCGCAGGTCCAAGGCCGCGCCGCTTGGAAACCCGAGACCAAGAACCGCTGCACCCCACCTGACCTCCAGCATCAGGTCCCCCGTGCATGGTCCCGCTGGACCAGGACCTGCCCGCGCCGCCGTGTTCACCCTGGCTACGAAACACTCGTCAGCCTCCTACAGGGCCACGATGGAATCACGCAGCATCGCGTCGAGCTGTTTGACCCCAACGACCGCATCATGTCCACTGAGAGGGCCCGCTGCGCCTTCATCATCATGCTGATCATGAAGCGCGAACTCCGGGCGCATCTGGCCCTTCCCTGACCCCTCCCGATCAGGGGACACGCTCGAAGCCATCCTGGGTGTCTGCTGTCCTTGGCAAAACGACCACCACCACTTCCGCTTTCAGTTCGCGGCTTCCTGGGGGTTCAAGCTCTCTGACATCCGTCGACTCCACGGGCGGCTGGAGGGACTGATCGCCTTGGTGGGCAAGCTCGTGACTACTGCCCACCACCGCCCCGCCGCTGAGGCCGCCCATTGCCCCGCCACCTTCGCTGAGATGGAGAGCTTCCCCTTTAAGCTAAAGGCCCCTATGCTGGTCCTCGAAGAGATTGTGAAGCCGGCCAACATCGGCATCCTCTCGTTGTCGGGATGCAGCATCTGTTTCCGGCGCCAGGATCTCGCAGGCAGCGGCGGCGGCTTGGGGCCCGACGCCGGCCCCTCAGAGATGTCTTTCCTCAGCGGGGGCTTCTCGTTCGGGCCTATTCCCCTGGACAGAGCGCCACCGCCTGCCCCGCTCCCCAGCGCGACCAAGACCCCCTGTTACCTGGCCCCCGCGACACTCGCTTCAGCGCCGACCGGAAGACGGCCAGGTACAAGCGCGACTGCTGCTACAAGTCCAACCTCGAGCACAACGACGGCACTTGGCTTGACGACGTTATCCGCTCGCATCTTGCACAGAACGGCCTGCAGGCGCATGTCGACGGGTTGGGCTGCGCATGGCTGTGCGGCCAGTGCTGGACACGCGTGGTCGAGAAGAATGGTCACCGGCTGTCCCCGGACCACTCTCTCCACGAGAAGGTACAGGCCGTTGCGCTCGCCAGGAACCCCTCCAGGCCCCCTCCCGTGGGCGCACTGCCCCTTGCCGCTTCCCAGCGAGTGTTCTCGGCGTTCCCCCGCGGTGCGACCCCTGGGGCCCTCGAAGATTTCCTTCTGGAGCCCTCGGGCCTCCGTGTCCCAAAGGAAGCCAACGCCGTCTCCGCCCGCGCGGCTGGAGGACGACAGATTTGGGTATATGGCAGCTCAATTCATGTGCTACGCTGCCGCGCGCGACGGGTGCCCGCCCGGGCCCTCCCCTCTTTCCTGGCAGGCAGGTGCTCCTGCGCTCGGCTGTTTTGCATGGAAGGCTGACGCAGAGTCGCGGCAAACGAGCGCGGGTGGCCTCCCGGAGCGGGAGGACCGCGCCGTCGCCCGGAAAAACCGCAGCTGGAACGCCGCATGGATGTGCCGCATTGCCTCGTTCGCGCACGGGGCGCCAAGCCCGGTGCAGTTAACGGCGCGATCGACTGGGGCGCCCACCTGGTCCACCCCCGCCCCCCAACCTCCGAGCGACGGCGGGGGGTTCTGGGGTGGCGGTCTGGGGGGCCACATTTGTTCAATTTCGGCCTCTCGCTGTAGCGCCGCGCACATTCTCTCCAAAATCTCGCCTTAGCGCCGCGCGCGTTTTTTTTTTTGTTGGGCGAGGGGGAAGTCCGCTGGTGGGCCAATCACCCCAGGGGGCCTCCATTGGTGAGCCAGCCACCCAGGGGTGGTCCACTGACGGTGTCCGTCCACCCCAAGGGTGGCCCTTTGCTGATCCCTCCGCTGTCTGGTTGGCCCACTGCCGTCCACTCCAAGGACGCCCAATTGTAGACCCTCCACTCAGGGCTTGTGCGTGCGTGAGTGTGGTGGTGGTGGTGGTGGTGGTGGTGATGGTGGTGGTGGTGGTGGCGTGGTGTTGGTGTGTGTGTGTGTGTGCGTGTGTGCGCGTGTGAGAAAGAGAGAGAGAGAGAGTGAATGTGCATGTGTGTACGTGGACCAGGCCCCCAGGATCATTCCATTGGTGGGCCAGCCACCCAAGTGGTGATCCACTGGTGGCCCGTGCCTGGCATTGCCTGGTATTGGTTGGTCGTGCTTGGCATTGCTTGGCCGCGCGTGGTTTTGATCGGGCGTGCTCGTCGGGGACTGGCATTGATATCTCGTGTTGGGCATTGGGTGATCATGCATGGCATCGGTCGCGATTGACGTTGGTCGGTCTTG